AAGAATGCGATGAATAACAGAATTCAGAGTTTTAGCTGTTAGTGTTTTTATTGAGGCAGAAACAATGTGATGAATGCCTGGCCTTCTAAGCATCTATAGTGATAAAAAAAAAAAGAATGTAGAGCGCTGGCTCTCTCCAGTCCAACAGTCCTCCCTGTTGATAACACCAAGCTTTTTATCCAGAGGGACTGGTTGAGAGATTTGTTCCTTAAGGCAGAGAAGAAAAATGCAGAACACCAAGAAAAGGTTTAAGAGCAGGCTCCCAGGCATGAAGACAATCGATCAGTGAACTCAAACGGGACTTTGGTATTTCTCCGAGGTTACTATAACCAGTTTCTCTGACAGATCTCTCTCTCTCTCTCTCTCTCTCTCTCTCTCTCTCTCTCTCTCTCCCTCCCTCCCTCCCTCCCTCTCTCTCTCTCTCTCCCTTTTTTCCTTCTTTATTGTTTATGCCTATTATCTATTCATAAACTTGAGACATTGAATTGCTGGATCATATTTTGTCAGAATAGAGGCAGGAAAACACTTTCATAACATTGCAGTCATACTTGATTTAAAAATCTTTTAAACCAAACTCTGAAAGAATAGTTGCCTAAAATTAATTTGTAAAGAAGTGGGGCACATCTACTCCATTTTCTCCTATGTCGCTAGTAATTTTGCTAGCTGATAGATTAAGTGTGATGTTTAGTAGCATTTAAAAAAAAAAGAACATCAATTTTTACTAAAATTTAGATAGTCTCAAGTATTTTTTAAGACATGTTAGCCTAGTTTTCAGAAATACATATTACTACAGTTTCACAAGTAGGAAAAGATAAATCACAGAATTATTCATTTTATTGATATTTTTAAGTCAATGTCAAGCCTCAACTTACAATACATATAAGAATGCTTACTGAGAATTATTCTGGGTCATGCTATAACAAGAGCAGTTTTCTCACATTCAGTGGTTATTAATGCTGATGTATTTGGGGGATTACAATATGCAACATGTGTTGTGTGAAGACTTCAGCACAAATACTACGCAAAACAGTTTGTAAAACTGACCAACATTCTTGGTGGAAAAGAAAGTTTTTAATTTACATTTTCATTTGCTTACTGAGACATTGGGAGAATCAGGTCGGGGAGAACAAATATTGTCAACAAATGTGAAAATTTGGAAAATATAAAGAAAGGTTTTGTGCTCATGTAGTTCAATCAGAAAGACAAAATACTCATGGTTCCTGGCAGTCTGAGACAGTGTGCTGGAGAGTTGCATGTCAATTAGATACAAGTCAGAATTATCTGAGAAGAGGAAACCTCAGCTGAGAAAATGTCTCCATAAGACAGGCATGTAAATAATCCTGTAAATCATTTTCAGAATTAGTGATTGATGGGGGAGGGCTCAGCCCATTGTGGGAGGCATTATCCCTGCCATGGTTGTTTAGGTTTTATAAGAAAGTGGACTGAGTAAGTCAAGATGAGCTAGCAGTTAAGCAGCACCCTTCCATGGCTCCTGCCTGCTTTCACTGCCCCTTTTTAATTCCTGTCCCGACTTCCCTCAGTTACTTGAAAGTGTAATTGAAATAAACCCTTTCTTTACAGAGTTGCTTTTGGTGATGGTGTTTCATTGCAGCTATGGTAAGCATAAATAAGCCAGGGGTGCCTAAATCATACCTGTGTGGCTCTCAAACAGGTCCAGGCAGATGGGGAATGCTGTCCTAAGCAGAAGGAATCATTAAAGTTTGTCAAGCAGAAAAACACAAGCAGACTAAGATGACGAGAGCAGAGCAAAAGGCAGACTGGAGAAAGAGTTTCCAGGGAAGAATCCTGCACCAGCTGAGATGAGAGGCCATTGGAAGCTTGGCTGAACACAGGGGAAGGATTAGCCTTCTTCTTCCTACCCAGGCTGAATGCTCTTCTTTTGGCTATTCCTGCACTGACTCTTTTGCCCACACTGATGAGAGAGAGGAAGGGGTTTCACTTTATGCATATGTATTGGGTTCATCACAGGCATGAATTTTCTTTCTTAGTAAATTTGGTGGTGACTCAAACTATTTCAATTGAATTCTTGCTTCATTCCTCTTCTTGTTTCTATTATCAGGTAAAATAAATAGGGGAAAGATATAACTCTCACAATGTTAAACTTGAGAATGGACACAAACATTAACCTCAGACAAAGAAAAGATGTTCATGATATTAACATAAATGAGAACAATATGAGATACTTTTTGTGTGTTCTCTTGGAACACAGAGGGAGCTGGATAACACACCGGGAATACACACTGGGAATACACATGCACCAACATACTGACAAAGGAAATCTTACTGGCTTTATCTGTGTAGGGAAATTTGGCAGTGAAATTAAACTTTCAAATGAAAATTCTCATTAACCTAGGTGCCACTCCCAGATCTAACTAAATATAACTAAAAATTCACATATGCGTTTTCACTTCACATATATTTGATTTCATATATGGGATTGAATTTATCGATAATTTCATGGAGGGGTTTATAAGGCATTATAGACTTACCATGGAATAGTCTATGTGTACACAGATATAGTTCAAATGCTATGCAGATAACCAAATACAATAAAAGTGTAACATTTGGAAGAATGAATGTATAAAAGTGTGAAGGGATGGCCAATGTCAGAAAGGTGGGACTGGGCAATCAAAATTTCTGCCTCCCCCATATTGATATAATAAGGGACAGCAGACATATAAGAACATAATTAGCAGCAGTTATAATCTGGAAAAATGAATTGAAATCATGATGTCTTGGTACCAGACGTGTGCTAGGATGTCACAGACGTACTGCATAAGCAATTCTAGACTTTGACAAAGGGAAGAAAAAAATAAGTCCAAATATACTAACTTAGGAAATGTCAGTTCATGTTCCCAGGACTGAAAATACAGCAGAGGACAATCAAGACATTGAAACAAAACTATTTACATGATTCACGTTGTTCCTTTCTAAATAAGTGTCTCCCCAGAGAAAACCACTCTCAGGAAAAGTTGACTGCTTTTTCATGCTCCTCCCAGTCATGGCGACAGTTAATAATATACAGGACTATGAAGTATCTGTTGACAGATATATGAATAAATAAATACACACAACACACTATATTTTATTAGCTTTTAGGCCAATTCTTGCCAATTTTACAAAATTAAGGTAAAAGGAGATGCAAAAAATATTGTTCATTCAATCAAGCATCTTCTTTGAGAGACACAGTACTTTGTGATATTCAAATCTGCAACACCTGCGGTGTTGCAGATCACTCATGGCTAACAGGAAATAGCCTGGATCCTACTGAAGCAATTCTTCTACTTCACTGAAACCATCAGAAGTGAAACATTAGAAGAAAAGTTTGTTATGATTCATTTTTGTTTCTGGAAAGCAAATCTATGAAATATTGCCTTTCCGTGAACCATCCTAGAAATGATATCTGTATCATTTTTCATTTGAGAAAAAGAAACTGAGAAGAGGCATGGATTTATAGAGATTTTTCATTTCTCCATGTACAAAACTGATTTTACCTGGAGTGTTTGAGATAAAATGATAAAACTGTACCTAATAATGTCATTCCTTCAGATGAAAGAGAAATTTGCCCTATTCAATCACTAGTCATCAGCAAGAAATTAACATTTCAAGATGATAATTCATTTTAGAAATGCTCCACACTTTTTCTTAATTAAAAAAAAACCTGTTGTGTCTTATTATGTGGAAGCAATCCGCCATGTAGAGTTTCTGCAGTCAAAAAACATTGAAAGAAAATAACATGGCACACCCTTCCTCTGCCTAGGTACCATCTCAGAAATACTATGCCTATGGAGAACATATGGTTTTTGAATGCTTGACTCAGAAAAGAATAAATGGCATATTTGTATCTTTAAATTTTTTTCTCATAAGACAAATCCATTTAGAAATGCAGCTCTGTTTCTGATGAACTATCACTCACTAAGAGGGTATTTTTATTAGCTCACAGTAGAAACACATACTTAATCCACACTGAAAACAATGCAATTGCCTTTCTTAAGTCTCTTATTTGAATTTCTTGATCTTACTTCTATTTTTGTTTCGTTGAACATTTACATATCCTGTAACATTTTATCACAGTTGTTAGAAAGAGACTGTTATTACTTGTTTCTACTACTCCTTTATGTTTTAAATTCTATAATAGATTAGTTAGTAAATATTTGATGAAGAGACTGATTGGTTGTGTAGATATGATACACCACTTAAAGTGGCATGAGACTTACCAAATAAATAATAAAATATATTTGCTTTAAAACTCTTATTGCCAAAGTCATCAAGACAAAGCCAAGACCAAACAAACTCAGCATAGCAATATATTTGATTATCACTTGTAGAAAAAAAAATTGTAAAATTTATTTGTACTCAAATTAAGGTTATACATTTGCTTTAAAATTCAGCTACTATTTCACCATATAAAAAGCCAGTTTAAATTTGTGTTAGTCGATCTGCCTTGTATTCCATTGTATATACATACTTACATAGATATGCAAAAATAGCTAATGAAAGAAGAGGCTAAGAATTTGAAGGAAAGTTAGAAGTGATGTGTGGGAGGGAGGATTTGCAGGGAGAAAGAGAAAGGGAGAAATGTTTTAATTGTACTACAACCTTAAAAATAAAAAATAATTAAAAGACACTTTATTAGATTGCTTTTAAAGTAGTAAAGCTCATAACAAAATGGAAGAAGGCAATGGTTGGACATGTGAGTGTAGTCTGCATCATTTTGCTATCACACAGTATTCAAAACCATCTGCCTGACTTCAGAATTAGAATCTGTGATGTAACAATACTGCGAAAGATCACTAAGGTTTCATTTCTTCACAGTGAAAACAACAAAACAAAAACCATCCTAAAAGAGACGGTGAAACTCAGTAGGTGCAAATAAAATCATCCAACGAGAAACCAGGACATGAAATTATTACTGGCAATCGTAGATGGTACAACAGTGACCTAGGAAAAGAGTTTATCTTCAGAAAGCTAAAATGCTAATATTAATGTCTATTCAGGTAGAATTAAAATCATTGTTTTACTTCTTAAAATTCTAAGCTAAAACCTTGAAGTTACATTTATCTTAGCTTCCAAATGAAAAAAAGTAATCATTTTCAAATCTCTACAGCCCTCCAAATGCATTTTTCTAAGTTTCATGGTAAGTTGGATTCTTTCTGAAGCGTTTTTTTTTTTTGTCTCATTCCCTAGTGACTGTGGATAGTAGGTTATGATAATCTTTCCAGAAAATGGAGGAAGTTTTGTGTCATGAAGAGAAACACAGTGGAAGCAGCTCTAACAGCTTCAGACAGGAACCTAACAAAACCAGAGGCTCTCTGGGAGCACAGCAACTGCGCTGCTGAGGGTTTTTGTTTGTTTGTTTGTTTGTTTGTTTATTTTTTTGTATAGGGCAGGGTGAGTTCACGCTACTGTTCTGTGCAGTTGTGTCTTTCAATTCACTCCCTTCTCAAGGCCTTCACACCAAGAAAGACACCAATGACACTGGAGCAAAACCTGAGCTCTTCAAATTCACTTATTGTCACTTTCTAAGAGACTCATAAACAGAGGGAAAGAAAGGCAGTGTACTGCCCAGTTTATACATGGGACAATAACTTTTTATAAAATGCCAAATCTTGTTGAGAAAGATGTTATCCACTTAACTTAGAACCAAGTCCCGCTCCTCTGGTTGCCACTTTAAAGCTTCACTGAAGGAAGCCCCAAGCATTTATCAGATTTCCCCACTGTGACACGTTTGGATTTTCTTCCAATTGAAAGCAAATCTTTGTCTAAAATTACAAGATGTTCAAGTCTTAATAATTCTATTTGAGGAGACAGTTCAAACCACCTCACAAGGGACATTTCTGTTTCTACAAGATCTACAGTGGACGACAGCTTCAGAGCCACCTCGTCTAGTGTAGTTTCTTTTCCTTCCCTCCCCTCCCTCATCCTCTACCCCAACTGCATCCTTCCTTCCTCGCTTTTCTCCCCCTTCTCAATTTCTTTTTTATTTCTGAATACCAGACTGCCACAGAACATTTTATATAGCCAAGAATCAACCTGAATTCTACATAATACTGCCTTCACACCTCAAGTTATGGGCTCACAGGAATGCACCATCATGCCATGCAGATTTGGTACTGAGATCAGAACACATAGTTTTATCTGTGCTAAGCAAACACTCTGCAAATTGAGCTATATTTCAATCCTATTTAGCGTACATTCTTGATTTGTTATTACACTGTTTTATTTTGAATGTTTTTCCTTCTCTGTTTAAGACCATAATTAAATCCCACCTTAGTACTAACGTCACCAATAGTACTAAGTTTGAAAGAAATTCCTGTAAATTATTTGAATAAATGATTATAGAGTCAACAATTAATTGACACTAAAGCTTTAAAGATTTTTGACCTTCCCTTCCACACTGATCAAAACCTAAGAAAAACAGAAATTTTTTTCATAGTTTAAGAGCTTGAGACTTTGTGATAGAATGAGAATCAAACTAATCATAAAATTTTCCTATGGTAGCTGGGTGGTGGTGGCTCATGTCTTTAATCCCAGCACTTGGGAGGCAGAGGCAGGCAGATCTCTGTGAGTTTGAGGCCAACCTGGTCTACAAGAGCTAGTTCCAGGACAGGCTCCAAAGCTTCAGAGAAACCCTGCCTTGAAAAACAAAAACAACAACAATAAAAAATAGCTATAGATATACTATAGTGATATGCTACGGATATGATTACTGTTAGTAATCTGAAAATTCTTATTTTATTATTTAAAGTTAAGTTTTGTTATATATTATTAGAATCAAATGGCCACTGTTATTATTATGTGACAAAAAATGTTTTAGGGACTTAAATTATATATATATATACATATATATATATATTATAGTGTATATATACAGTTATATACACTATAATCTAGACAAAAGTCTAAAATTTAAATTCTGAATCTTCTATGCCATCCCACTCATTTATGTTGGTTCAGTAGATCTTAGAACAACTTAGTAGAAAATTTCTTAGACTCTGGGAAATAAATAGAGCAAGCACAGAGCCAGGGTACACATGAAGTAGGCCAACCTGGGAGGATTCCGTGGAGAAACAAAACCACAGCAACCTCCAAAGAGCACAGCAGAAAGTTCTCGTGGCTGTAAATATTGGTGTGTGCATTCACTCCCACTTTGTCCTTTATCCACTTTTTATCCTTTAATTTTTACTTTGAGCAGCAACCTAACACAACAGCCTATGAAAGTAATTACTTCCGAATCTACTTTCGAGCTTTCCAGGACTCTGACCCAGTGCATTGCATAGAGACAACAGACCTTAAAATGTGAAGAGCAGATAAATACAACCAGACATTTTAGCATAATCTGTATTGCAAACTTTCATATTATCTAACTTCAAAGACTGGTCTTAAATCTCAAGTAGGCACCCTTTTACTAAGATGACTGAAAGAACTGAAACATGTTTTAGGAAAATAAGCCTCCAAATAAATTAATATCAATGAATGCCAAGGATTGCTCAGTCATTGAATATGGGGGTTGTTTTGTATTTTCTACAGGAAATACCTGCATAGAGCTAAAAATCCCAGGCTTAGGGCAGATAAATCAGTCCAACCACACCCTTTACTTCTTCTATAACACACTTAGTTTGTGAACCTCTAATATTGCATACTTAAAGGAAAGAAATCCTTAAAATTTGAATGAATTCTTATTGACACATATACAAATTTGTAACAATTTAAATATGAAAGATTCAGTACAAGTAATCATTAAAATAATTATATATGAGAAAATCTAGTAAGTAATAGAACTGGCATCTTCTTTGCACTGAAATTTTTTAGCATATATATTCATTCTAAAATAATTTCTATTATTCAGATGACCGCAGAAGAACTTTGCTGCAGATAATGTCTAAATATATTACAGATTTTTTTTTACCATTTTAACATTATAATAATAAAACCCACAATTTATATGCAACTTGACAGTTGAATTTTAAAACTCTTATGCAAAGAATATTTTCAAAGATATGTTTTCTGATTCACTATCAATGCTCCCTTCAATAATGCTATGATTTCAAACAGTTAACGGTTTAAAATTTAACTAAAAATTGAAAATGCACTGAAATTTTCTTACTCCCATTTCCCACTAATTCTTGTGTCATTAAGTTACATGTTGAGCATTTATTATTCTAAATTTATCTCAATTTCCTTAGATAGAATTTCAAGGCATTTTTCATAAGATGACTGTTGAATGTCTCTTAAGTTTGCTGATGAAAGCTATCATCACACATCTGGGATGGTCCTCCTTTGGTCATTGGTCCCCAGCATCTCCCTCTCAGTTAATTTTAAATATACTTACATGCTAACCCTTCAAATCTTAAAGGCCAACATTTGTCAGGTAATCAGTGAAAACAATGGAAGTTCAATCGCTACATGTCAATCTAATTTAATGCTACAACATGCTTTGGAATATAAAGAAGACCTAGAACATTACTAATTTTCCTAACTACAGCTTTTTATCCCTGTAAGTTACTACTTCACTTTTTTGTGTCACCATTAATTAATCTTTATGACAGACACGGGGAAAAAAGAGTTATGTGTGCAACCTCCCAAGACTTAATGGCATTCTTCTGTCATGTTTTTCTGTTCTCTCAGAGTTTGCTTTTCATCAGTGACTCAAAATATTTGTCCGTGTTTAAGAAAAAAGTCAGTTTAGCATGAACTAATATAACCGCCAACCAAACTTTGTCTTTAGAACGGCACCGTTGGTGTAAGCCTAAGGACAGCTTTAAACACAGCAGCTCTGGGTCCCTTCTAGAGCTGTCAACTGAAGTGTTTCTAGCTGAAAACATTAAATAATATAAAATAATCACTAATAAGTGTCTCCATATTTTGTTGGACAATAGAAAATGTCGTAAAGCTAATTTGGTAAAGAATTTGAAGAATTATATTTCAAAATAATTAAATAATTCATAAGACAAACCTGTGTGATTTACACATGGAATGTTTTATAAGTTTTCGGAGATAGCTTGGACACTTAAATCAGTTCAGTGGCCCAGTGAACCATACAGAGTTAAATGAAGATGAAATGTTAACAAAACAAAAGTGATTTTCCAGTCTTAAAATTCCTATCATCACCTACTATGTCTTCTCATTAATATTAATTGAACCAGTAGGAAATTTGTGCATAATTCTGTAATGTCAAAGTCTGAGGTACAATAGTGTCTCAGCTAGTACTGAATCATTGAAAGGGAATTCTTATATTAAACTGCATGGGAGATCTTAGTTAATTTCAAACAGATCACCTATATTCTCTTACTGTTGTGTTTACATTTGGTTTAATTTAAAGAAGGATGTCTTTTCGTTAAAATGTACTTGTAAATGTGAACCTCAATATCGGCAAAGCTAGAGATGAAATTTGATAAATTGGAAAGTAAATTTCTCATGAAATTGCCCATTTATCACTTAGTCCCTGTCAACACCTGTGATAACACATACTAAATGTGTAGTGATTAGGGACATTATGGGAAATGACGAGGTACTTCGAGACCTTGTCAAGAAATCACATCTGTTGTTTAAACTCCTACTGAGTGTTCCTACTAATATTATGAATATCACAGTAGTAATACTGTGGTCCACCTTGACCACGGATGGTATTAGCTAGATTTCTTTTCCAAAACCTTTTTGCTGCAGTTACTATGGGATAGGAGTGGAAGATAACTCCTCCTTCTAAGTGCTTAGCACCTACAAAGATAATGAGACCAGTGGATTCCTATACTCCTATCATTTTTGTATATGTAATAAGACTTTTCTATCCAATAGTTAAAAAACAACTTTTTGTGGCAAAGATAATTGAATCACTTTTATTGGCATTCTGGTCCCAAATCCAGCTGCCAAAAACTCAGATAAACTTCACAAGTTCCCATCATAATGGAGACAGAAGCAGGCTCACACTTCTTAACTTGCAAAAGGGATTACCAATCTGTGTTAGTATAAACACACACACACACACACACACACACACACACACACACACACACAGGTTGCTGTACTTTTAAACAGACCTGAAGTCTTTGGTCTGTACATCCTGAGTTATGAACTATTTGGAACCCCACCTAGCATCCTTGTAACACAGGGTGCTGTCAATTTCTTAAGAGAATCTATTGACAAATTTTAAGAACTAGCAACCCAGGCTGCTGGGTTCTTCAGGTCATTATGGATTTTGAAGGAATTACTGTGCTGATTTTAACACCATCTTCATAACAATGTACTCAGTGTTGCCCAATGAACCTTTATTTTGAACTGGTTAAAATATGACAGTGATCGAAGCAATCTGAGATTAAGGAACACACAATTTATGAAGATGGCAGTGGGTGCACATTGACACCACTTTTTCCCAGGTTGTGAGGAGTGTCATTCATTGCCTGTAGTGGGAAGAGAGAAATTCCTGCTCCCTGGCCAGGTGCTTGCCTTTCTGAACAGGGCAGAAGGGCTTCACCGGCAGACTTAGGTTGCATCATGCTTCAGAGCATATGCTCACACACTTTGCTTTTTAAATCATGGAATCAATAGTGGTAAAAAAACACCTACATTTAAGATAGGCAAAAAGAAACTAGACTGCAAAACAATGTAAGTTTTATAAATAATTTTAGAAAAGCAAGTTCAATGACTTTAACTCAGGAAAAATAACTTTGATTAGATAATGTAATTATAACCCATGACTTTTTAAATAGTGAATCTATATTAACTAAAGCCATTTAAAATTATCCTAATAGCCATTGCATTGAAACAGTATATTTTATTGACTTCAAATGCAAGCCATTTATTAGAAAATTTAGTTTCAGAGTAATTGAAAAATTAGTATATTTATCATAACTTACTAATTACATACATAGAAATATTCAATACTCTTTAAGAGCAGGAAGATTAGAAATGTTTATAATCCAAATTTAAGTGTTAAGGACTTTTAGAAGCTTCATTACTTTTTAAAGTGAACCAACCTCTAATGTGGAGTTATCGATCACAAGGTCTCAGGAAACAGACCTGCAGGAATGTGACAGCTCTGAGCATCCAATCAGTTTCTCTCCTGCTCTAAAGAGCCTAAAAGTTCATGGAGATCTTAACCGAGCCTTAACACTGTCTAGAAAACATCATCTCAGCAAGAAAACTGGCTTACTGCTGACAGTCATATTCCATGAGCTCTTTATGCCAGAATTAGAGAATCTAAACACATAGATGCATGTATGTCTTTTAAGATAAACCTAATGTCAATCTTCTAAAGCATTAAAATAAAATTCATAGGTAATAAAAATAATAGGTAGTCAGGTAGGTATGATGATGTGGATGAAGTAAATTGTAATCATTCAAATATCTCATCTTTGTTAAAATGTTAGGCTTTATGTCTGCTATCAAATGTGTTTAGCATTCCTGACATATATATATCAGAGTCATCTTCACAATAACATAAGTAAACAACTTGTGATTTTATTTTAATATATACAAAAATGAACCTTTTATTTTATCAGCAAGTAAAGAAAAGTCCGCGATGCCTTTGCCAGCACAGCACTTCCTTGGTGTCTGATTCTGACAAGCACTCTGCCCTGCAATAACACCCTCTGATCCCGACTGTGAAGTCAGCTTGGCCAGCAAACCTTGAAGGTAGCACAGGTTTTACAAGTAGTAAAAGGACACTTAAGAAATAGATATCTGCAAACGAGTTCATCTTTTATGCTTTTAATGAATTAAAGTGTGAGTTTAATTATATTTCCATGCACAACTAGTTTGTGATTTTGAATGAATAAACAGGTTATAGTTGTAAAAGTTAAGCTTTTTTTCTCTTACTGCCCTATACCTACTAGGTTTCAGGCCCTCTAATGGTCAAAGCAATTTTACAAATCGTGAGAAATGTTCAGGTGTATCAGGCATCCATTTAAAAATTCCACAACTCTTTCCTCATACTTTCCCCCAAACTTTCAATGACATGGAAACTCCCAGCTATAAGTGTAGCATTTAGTTTATTATCAAAATAATTTTCATTTTTTAAACTTGTAAGTAATCTAACTTTCTGTTTAGTTGCATGTGGAACCAGAGATAAGTGTAAAAACTGTATTTTCCTCTGTTAGTTTGCAAAAGTTTTAGGTAACATTAAGAGGTACCCTGACACTTGTCTGCAAACCTTAACCTTTACATTAAACTTTCCATTGGTGGTGCAACCTCGTCCACTGTCGTCTGGCATTCCAGCTGAGATGATTCAGTCTTTTCTCTACATTACATATATTGTTTTAAATTTTGACTCTGAAATATGCTCTTTCTACAATTAGATTTAATTGACTTTTTAATACTACACATTTACTATTTTCACCGCCTTTCAAAATCTATGTGTGTTTATCATCTGATCAGTGTAAACATGCCTGCCAAGCCTAAGACTTGGGGTTTGTGCCTACGAAGATCTTAAATACTTTCCCCATTATGTGAGAAATTGTGGGAAAAACCATAGGGGAGTGTTCATCACTGGCCGCTGACACTTGGCAAGCCTTTCTTCATGTTCTAGCCTCAGTTTAGTCCTATTATTAGTCAGGATGCAGTCCCTGTAGCCCACTGTGACAGGTAAAGGGCAATTCAGTAGCTGTGCTGCAACCCAATAGCGACCAATGATATTTACAACATTTTGATAGTGTACCTCTCACGGTTTCATTTTTATGACCCTGCTATTTTAAGGTTTGCTACTGTGTTCATTCTTCTTTTTCATGGCGAAGATTCACAATCAGAGCAGAGAGCTGAGTTACCTAAGTGACTTCTCTTCAGAAAAAGCATATGAACTGAATGTGGGGGAAGCCGGACACAGAGAACACTAAAGTTCTCTTCCAAAACTGCCCTAAGACTACCACACCAAATATCCTGCCTCGTGCTAAGTTTATATAAAATTATCCTGAAATATTAGTAGATTTTTATTATTTTGGAACAAAAACAATTTAATCAACCTAAATTTTTTAGGTTGTCAGAGCAGTACTCAGCTCACTGGCTATCACGGTCATAGAAATTTAAACTAATATTCTCTCCCTGTTTTCCGATAAAAATCAGAATTTGGAGCACGTATTCAGTAAACACATCTATGTATAACGTGCAGAGAAAAATAACTCAGCGTAATTCAAGGCACTGTTTTGTTTTTCCAGTTCCCAAACTTTGCAGAACTCTGCTTGAATCTTTACTGAATTTTAACAAGTTAACAGCACCGCTAGATTCTGTCTCTATTCTTAGATTGCTCAGTCTGTGAGATAGATGCTCATCCCTGACCTGAAAACCCCATCTAATTATTTCTTTTTTTCCTTAAACATTGTATTGCTTTAGTAAAAGTCACTCTTATCCATTCTAGCATTTGCTATCCCTAAATGTACTTGCTTCTATTTTTTCCCTCTTGTTTCGGTGGCCTTATAAGACACACAAATACTTGCTTCAACTTTTCAATATAAAATCCCAGCAGAGAAAAATACTGTCTTCCCGTCTTTAAACAAGTATCATTAGACATTTTTTATCTCTGGCAACAGCAAGAAAGGAAGGCTTTGCGGAAGCCACTGTGTCAAAACCCCTAAGTGGCTGGGAACCGAAGTGCACCATCACCGGGAGTAGTCAGCAGCAAAGGAATGCCAGCTACTTACCAATGGGATCTCAGCTGCCTCTGTCCATTTCGGGAACTCTCAATCCCGGTTTCCCATCCTCCTGCCCTGGGTGCAGCGTAGATGGATGGAGTAGTTCCTTCTCTGCTCCTCAGCCTGTGGCAGAACAGAAATCGCAGAGTTCTGAGTCCTTCACTGGGAATTCTCCTCCGGCTTGCCCTGCCTCTCCCAGCATAGGGGACCCAGGTGAGGCATCCTCCTGGCCACAGGCTTTAATGGCACTTGGCTGCCGGTTGTTGCACGGGGCGGAGGAGTTGGGAAATGCAGGCAGGTGCAGGTGGGCGCCTCCTCCCGCTGCTGCTCACGGCTCGCGCGGATGCTCCAAGGCGTCCACGAGCCCTGCACCGCGCGCCCTGACTGGCTGGGTCCCTCCAGGAGCGGCCCGCGCCCCTCCCGCTCAGCGCTGTCACCGTCGCCAGGCGCCTCGCTGCCTTGCGCTGCAAAGGCTCATTTAGCATGTCCCTGCCTGTAAAAGACTGTGTGCCTCAAGCAGGGCTTTGGATTTCTTTCTTTTTCACGTGGTACTTCACTCGCATCACTGGCCAACCGGTACCATCCCCCCACACCTTCTCTCCAAAGTGGGAAAGGCTGTTTACCCCTACCTGTCCACTTCTGGGTGCTTCGCGTTCACCAGTGACAGCGAACGTGCTGGTTGAAGGATGCGCTGGAGCTGGCAGACTCTGGGTCCCTTCCTCCCTTGGTCTTCTGCTGTCCCTGCTGATAACCAGGCTGTACTGATAGCTCAGACACAGGAGGCTCAGACCCGGGCGCGCACCTATGCAGGCTCCAGAGGGGAACTGGCACTTGGGAGAGTGTGGTTTGGTTCTAACTGTGAGACAATTCTCTTTTGTGAATACATGTGAATTCCCTCTAAGGGCGCTGGGCTTGGGATTTATCGCTTGTCATTGATGGTGGGGTGGTGGCTGTGGTGGCTTACACTGAGTTCTGGAACAGTCAAGGAAATTACATATTTGACTCTTGTTTGTTTGTTTGTTTTATTTTGTTTTCTGAAATTTTCTTTCACAATGCTCATAGCTGGAAAAATAGCCCAGGTAGTAAATCTGGTGTGGCAGTTTTACTGTCATTGATTTGCCGATTTCTGGACTTTCCCTGCCTTTGAGTGCTCCAGTTTCATGTGTCTGGTGGTAATCGAGTATTTATGAAATAAATTCTGTTACATGCATTTTGCCTCCAACTCCATGTGGCTTGCACCTGTACGTGACAAGGTTGGAAATCACACACACTTTCTTCTCTGCCAGCCTAACTACACTCGGAACTCCGCGTGAGCCATGGGCTGCATCCGTACCAAGAGGTGCACACTGTTCACACGTGTGTGAGTCCAGTCCAGCCCCTGCATTCAGGGGGATGATTCCTCTGTGTGCAGCTTTGGCCCCAGTGGCTTACGAAAGGCTGTAATTGGCAAGGCGCACAGAGATTGTAGCTGGAAGCCAGATACTGCTGGAGCTCTCTGCTCCCGTTGCTACAGCTTTCCTGGTAATTAAAATTAGTCGTTTTCCTGGTCCTTGGCTCTTCTCACGCTGTGCAAACACCAAGACTGCTTTGCATGGCTTCCCTCAGGATCTAGGCTGGCTTCTTTCTCACAGCAAAGACAATTCTATGTGTTCGTATTTAATGCTTCTCTACCCTTCCATACTTTTTATTTTCTTCTTCCTGCTTTCCAGTAATTGGGTTATTTTCCTTATGTGTTGGCTGAGCGGTTGTTGGAAAGAGTCAAGTTTTCTGGGAGGTTTCTCTGCTTTGCTGGCCCCATGCCTACAGCAGGCTGTTGGTTAGGGGAGAAAAATTACCAGAGTTTTATAAGATCTTTAAATATATTGCAAGATAGACTCGGAGCCTAAGAGCTTTAAAGCTTTTTAAAAAATTGTGCGACGAGGTTTGGGCTTTTAAATGTTTATTGTAATTGAACACCTACAGTTTTCAGGTGCCAGAGACTGACCCTGCTGCTCTCTCCCTTGCTGCATTTCCTGGAACACAACTATGGGCGATTTCTTATCTTTTTTTTCTTTTGAGTCATTAAATCCTTTGTTTAATATATTTTCTTTTAACTAGCCTTAATCCAGAAATGATGACAGTTGACGCCTAGAAATTCATTCACTACAGTAAATAATGGGTGTAGCCCAATAAATCAAGGCATGAGGACAAGAATTACGAGAAAAGATGAGATGTGATGAAGCCCGAAAGGAGGGTGATGAGGTTTGATCTCTCCTCTCTTATAAAACATGCCTAGTTTGTCATTCACAGTAGCAGACGCCAACAAGTAGGATGAATGACCGCCATCTGGCTCAAGGTGTGCTTCCACAGGTAATCAGTATGAGTGAGAAAATCCGCCTGTCCAAGAACAGGAGTGAGCCAGGCTTCCTGTTGCACACTTGTTTACCCAACTTTAGGAGCCTGAAGCAGGAGGATCAAAAATTTAAGTAGAACCCGGACTACATAGAAAGGCAATTTTCAAATCAAACAATCAAGTAAAAAGAATGGTAAAGATGGAGTAAATCTTGCCCTCATTAAACAAAACAAATATGTACCTGAGACAAACTATTAAGTTTTTAAAAATGGAACAATGTAATATGGGATAGTACTTTTCCCTTTTGTGATTGCTCCTTTGAAAAAGAAAGACATGTCTGATTAATTAGGCATAGTGAGATCTCTTCCTGTCAGTTCAGACTGAGGACGGCAGTGTCGAGTCATCACTGGGGGCAGACAAAGTTACTCAGCTAATTTCTTTTTCTTCAGAACCCAGAATGTATAGACTGATATTTTGCTTCTTTTATTACTTGTAGTGTTGACAAATGTATATTATTTATCAATATGCATATATTTGTACATGTAATCTGTCTGACTGCATCTTTCTGAAGTAAAGCTTAGAATGTGAGTATCCTGGAGCTCATTGGAAGTCATGTACTCTGTGTACATTCCTGTATTCTGTAATAGCCACAGGACTGGAGTATGAGCAAAGGACGCTTC